AGAGGATGTGACAGGTGAGTGTGGAAAGAGGGGTCTAATTTTATATTTGTTGGCTCAGTAATCAAACAATATTGGAGGGGATAAAAATTATGGTTTGTCTGAGCAATGACGATTTTTATAGTGAGTAATTTACGTTAAATTTCACAGTTATTGGAGGGGTGGTGAGTAAAACAGGGAGGAGGGGATGCTTAGAGAAAATATGTCACATTTCACACACAAGAGGAAATTCAGGATTTTTTTAAATATTGCCTTATAAAATTAAGAACTTAAAACTTATATAATATTAAAATGTGAATTATTAGCTAGAATTTTATGCTATACTAATTGGTATAACAAAGTAGTTTGATTACATTTTGGATGCAAGTCACTAAAAACCTCGTGACATGCGCAGTAAAGGATGCCCGTGCAAAAAGAGTTTAACAGCCTTACTAAAATGGCTCGCTGTGACCTACTTGAGTCACTTAAAAGCTTTTAAGTTTAGATGGAATTTAAAGAGATTTCTTTTTTTAAAATATTTTTAAACTGTTTGAATTTTTCTTTGTTCTGTTTTAAATCTCTGGCGTACCACGATTGCTATGTGATTTATTTGAACATGCAAACGCCTATCAGTGAGATATGTAGAACATGACAATGATATTATCCCCAAACAACAAAATAACCGTAAATAATTGTTCGAACAAAGTATTTCCAGGTGACAACCAGTCAACAATACACAATAAAAACTACTTTCGTCATTATGTTTGAAGACATTGTCAGAGTTTGTTTGTTTGTAGTTAAGCACAAAGCTGCACAATGGGCTATCTATGCTCTGCCCACCACGGGTATCGAAACCCGGTTTATAGCATTGTACGTCCGCAGACATGCCGCTGTGCCACTGGGGGGCGTCAGAGTTTTCCGATTTTCTATATAGGTTTTCTGACGCTTCAAATAAGTCGATGTCCCGGCATATTTGTTTGTTTTTGAAGTTCGCGCTAAGCAACTCGAGGGCCATCTGTACTAGCCGTCCTTAATTTAGCAGTGATAGACTAGAGG